CCTTCCCCCAACATACTCCTCGTCTCCCCATTAAAGAAAACCTTCAGGCTTCGTCTCGTCTCACTCTTTCTCTTTCTATACGTATGTGCTTACAGTTATATAATAATATACATAGAACAGCTTGACGATAAACAAAATGGCGGATGGTGAAGAGGAGCTCTGCATTTGCCCGAGTTTCAACAGCTATTCGGCAGATGGGATTGCAGAAATTGCTAACAAAGTCACGGGACTTAACACAACCGACACTGAAGACGATGAGAATAATGATGATGAATTTGAGTTTGCTTTGGTAGGTGAAAACCAAAGGATTTTGGCTGAGGAATTCATCTATGACTGCCAAATCAAGCAAGTGTTTCCCGTATTTAACCGCGATCTTTTGGTAAGTTATGACGATTATGATAAAGGTTTGTCTGGTGAAGGAGTGGAGAGTATTAGAATTCCTTTGAAGAAGAATTTTATGGAGAAGTGCAAGAATGATTATCCTTCATCATCCTTATCGGAAGCCGATGAGTTGGAGATTATACCTCCGGGAACTTACTGTGTATGGAGGCCTGAATTCTCTGAGTCATCGCCGAGTCAATGTAAAAAGAGCAAGTCCACGGGATCAGGGTCGAAGCGGTGGAAGTTCCGAGATTTGGTCCGCCGATGCAACAGCGAGGGCAAGGACTCTTTCATCCTTTTAACACCGAAACACAAAGAAGAAAAACCAAAAGAAAATGTAAATTCAAAAAAATCAAAAGCGAAGCGAGTCGTCTCCGGCGAGAAATCGGCGGCTAATTCACTTCATGAAGCATTTTATGTACGTAACAGAGCAATAAAGGAAAGTGATAAGAGAAAATCGTATTTACCGTACAGGCAAGACCTGGTAGGATTTTTCCCTAACGCAAATGGATTGGGCAGGAGGAGTTTTCCAGCTTTCTGGAATATGCATTGTTTTCGTAATGTTCATTATTTTCTTCCTTATAGCAAAATCAAATGTCTATTTACGGGAGAAATGTTATAGCCTTTAAAGCAAATAAAAAATGATTATGAGATATACCTCTGTCTGACCTAAAAATTTGAATTAAAAATCAAATCAAAAATTCATAGTTAATTTTAATTGTATATTTCATGGTATCCACAATTTTTAACTACACGTTCTATCAATTTATCAAAATTTTTTTTTATTAAAAATCTAATTTCTGTCTAAGTCAAATAGAGGCATAATATATTTGTTTGTGATTTGGGTGAATCTATGTTATAAGATATTAAATGAAAGCGTGGTGGGAAATGAATATATTTTTATGATGAGTTAGTTTGTATTATGTTGGAGCTTAACACTACCTCAATTGATCGACACGACCAACCTCTTCTATGAAGAAAGATATTTAAAGATGAAACTCTAAATACAATATTGTTTACAAAAAATAGTGGCGTCTTCTTGAATTGATAACAATATTTGGAATCACAGTTTTGAGTACAAAATATAAAGAGCCACCATTTGTGTTGTATCATAGGATTCATTGTTTTGTTGTATGAGCATATTTATCAGGGGCGGAACTAGAAATATCTTCCAGTTTGGGCAAAAATTATTCAAAGCCAAACTTTGACTTTTCGAGACGCTAGACAAACTTTAAATGTGGGCCCTTAAATTAAGGTATGCAATATGCATTTAAATTTTTCTTAAGTAATCTATAAACTTAAACTCAGTAAAGATATAATCTACTGTAGAGTGTAACTCGGAAGAAAGCAAAATTATGCACGCAAGTTGAGAGTTCCAGATCTATACCAAATACCAGAAATTATACCAGAACTACAATAGACCCTCAAATTGTCAAACCACATGATGTCACGAACGGTAAAAAGGGATTGTACAAGAGGAAATTGGGTACAATATAGATATCTTGACATATGAAATTAGGGTTAAGGGCTTAGATGGAAAGAATGAGGGTAGAGGGAGATTAGGAGTTTCTAAAGGGTGGTTGCCTCTCCCTTTTACCCAATGATTTCCTCTTTTAACCCAAAACCAACAATCCTTCATGTTGTATGTGTATCTATCTAAAATATACACTCACAAAAAGACAAGAGACTGCAAATTTTAGTTGATCTCTTGCATGGTTTCTTTCTTTCTGATACATATTCTGTTGATTATCGATTGGACCTGCATACCACTAACTAATTGTTTGGCAAAGCTCTTTTTAGGGATCATTTTTGCTTAAGAAACGTTCAAGTTGATGCTTGCACTGCGCTTAAGTGCCTGTATTTTATAGAATAATGCTATTTAGCACACATATTTAATTAAATAAAAGGAATTATGGTTCTTTTAGTATGACCCATGACATTGTAATACTTAGACTGATATTCTACACCACTAATATTAGATAACATTATTCTTTATGTTAGTCTTCATTTGTGCCTCCATTTGTTCATTGCTGATGGAGGTACTATGTTTGTATCAAACAAATGACAACTTGAAGCAAACAAAAATTGAGGTTTGGAGTCATTTTTCAACGTTTGAACAATTATCATGACAACTAGATTTGAATTGACGTAATCCTTTTAAAATTATGACACATGAAAATGCAAGAAACTTGTCATTTAACCCTTTTTTGACTCCCTTTATTTCAATACTCTTTATTTTTTGTACTCAATCCCCGTATGGCTCTCTTTATTCTTTATACTCATTTTCATTCACACATTCACACAATAAAATATTTTGTATGTGAACCCAAAACTATTTTTACTTTTTAATCACACATATCACACATTCTTCAAAAATTGCTATTTAAAACATTATTTTTCCCAGTAATTTCTCTTTGTAATGGCCATCAAACAAGGGCACGTTTTCAATCACACAATAAAATATTTTGCACGTAAAATTAGAACTTTTCTATACTTTTTAACCCCCACAATTTGAGGATGAAAACAGTTTGGTTTGGACGGCCTAAGGCAAATCACCTCACTTTCTTAGCAAACCAAATCAAACCACCTTTTTTTGGGTTTGATTCGATTTAAAATCATGGTTTAACAAATAAAAAGATAACATAAGTCAAACCAATTAAATCATAATTATTAATTTAAAAATCACATTATAACTTAACTATCTATATCATTACAAATATTATAAACTAAAGTTCTAAACATCTAATAATTACAATGCAACAAAATGAAAGAAACAATTTAGTTTTAACAAATTAGCCAGGGGCAACATCTTCAATTATAACACATGATTCATTCTTTGTAAAAAGATAAAAATATATTGATTTAGTTATAATTATATGGTATAAGGCAACTAATATAAAAGAAAATGAATAGAAATATCACCTTCTGTAACCTTCTTTGATTCATCTAATGCTTTTACCTCATTCAAATATTAACGAATCACTATAATTTCCTTGTTACCGTACAATCAATTCTTAGTGAAAATTATTGTCTCAACCATCTTTCCACTCAATAAACTTCTAAAGGAATCAACAATCCATCCACTAGTACATAATGTAGATTCAAAAGCAACTGTGGATATTTGAATAACTAAAACATCTTTGACAATTTGCAAGACAATTTTATACTTACTAGTCAAAATTGAACATGCATTGCACGTTATTCTGAAAAAACTTTATAAGTGATGTAAAAGTAATATTTGGTACTAATTTGTAGGAGAATTTGATGAGTGTCGGATGAATTAAGAAAATAAAATTTAGTATAGAATTTATTAGAATAAAATTGTAATCAAATTGTGCTCTCAAAACTCAATTTCTATGATTAAATTTTTTTGTACCGATGAAATACAATAAATTGGCTACCTTTTTATATTACATTTGATATATAAAAATTAATTGTTAATACATAAATTTAAACATCCTTTAAATTTTTTAGAAATAACTGTAGATTCATGTAATTCAAGATTCATCAAGTGAAAATTCATTGAATCTAAGTTAATGTAAATGTTAATTAATTGAAAATTAATAACACAAATTTCATAAATGACAATAATTATGTAGTATTTATTACATATCGAAAAATGAAAAGTAAGGTATTATTGAAATAATTGAATTGTAGTGGGTTTAAAATCGTCCAAAAAATGATTCTCCCTTAATGTGATATTTTAATATATTATAAATTATAGATTTGCATTCAATTTTCCCAAAGTAATATCGTGAAAGGCACACTGGTTAAATCTTTACAATGATTACATAAGTAATCTATCAAATCATTCTTTTCAGCATGAGCTTCTTGCAAAAGTTTAGATTTAAAAATTGAGAGAATGGGTTTAAAAATAACCAAAGTAGTTTGTGAAGAACTTGGGCTTCCAGGTTGAGTAGCATGCTTAGATGGAGCTCATGGTGAAGCCATCATTTCCTTGTAACATTCATTTAACTTGTGAAGTATTTTTCAACTTTCATTAACAACATGTTTGCTATTTGACATCATAAATAAGTTCAAATCCAACTTTAAGCAATTCCAACTTGCATCTGGGGTTAAGAGCTATTCTAATGAACAATAATTGATTGAACTTTTTAAGATTATCCCAATACTTATCATATTTTCTTCTCATCGTAATTTCCATGGCCTTATAATAAATTGATCTACTATGTTATGTACTTAGGCTGTGTTTGCTATACTGTATTAAACTGTATAAAATTTTATTATAAAATACAAACATGGAAGTGAATAATGTTATGTTGAATTAAAGTAAATAATATTCTCTAATCTTTGAATATTTTAATTGTTATCTTGTTACCGCTGCTAATAAATTGATATACTCTAACTATGTCTTATAAATAAAGCTAGAGAGAGAGAGAAAAAAAAATTAATTGCTTGCTTTCAATCAACAAGTGATATTCGATCATTTTTATTTTTGAGTAATCAAAAGTATTTAAAAGTAACCTTACAAAATTTTGAACTTAGTCCTTATTCAGTCTAGAAAAAAATTAAAAAAAAATCAAAATTTTAGTATATTTTAATAAAAGTTATTATAATATATGTTTTAAAAGTGGTAAATCTCGTAAAATTTGTAAAGAACACTAAGGGCCTGTTTGATTTGTCCTATTTTCCATGGAATTTTTTTATTTTTATTTTTTCATTTTCCACCTTTTGGCATGTTTGATGGCAATAATTTTCTTGTCAATTTCCTTTCCTCCCCCCCCCCCAACATACACGCACACGCACACGCACACGCACACGTGCAATTTCCTTGGTTTTGTGGAAAACAATTCCCACCAAATCCATGTAAATTGATTTTCCAGCATATTTTTTTTTTTTGCAATTCAAACAAATTCTATCCCCAGTTGTAACATATTTTATCCTTTTAATTGACAAATTTCATAAAAAAAACAAAGCTAATCAAACACCAAAAGATAGAAAATTTCAATATTTTTCAAGTGGAAAATTATACCAATCAAGTACATTAATTGACAATTCCCAAAAAAAATAAGTTTTAGGCAATTCAATTCTCTGAAATTCATTTTTGTCCATCCAAATTCCATTTTTGCAATGAAACAGATCCTAAGTGCCTTTTTGGCACCATTCTCCCCAAATTATAATGAAAAATTCGAACATTATACCGTCAAGGGCCCCCATTGCAGCTGGCATTTTTTACTGTCTTCTTAGCACAACTCCAAGAGACGCTTTAAAAACAAATTACTCTTTATGTTAGAGAGTCAATGAATAAAAATGAGTTCCAAAAGACTCTTTGTTTTAACTTTTTAAAGTAGAGAGTGAGTTTAACTCTCCAAATTTAGAGAGTAAAGCACACTCTATATTCTTAACGTACAATAATTATATTTAATACATTACAAATTTCAATACTTTACAATTTAAAATTTTCAAATTACATTTGAATTGATTGGTCATTAATATATTTAAATAAAATAGGTGGAGAAATCATTAAATGTTTATTGGAAAAGACAAAATCAAAAATCAAAATAAAGAGATTGTTAGAGTGTATAAAAAAAAATTACTCTCTAAATTTAAAGACGCTTTCTATTATACATAAAATGCTTTTTACAAATAGAGAGTCTTTTA